TATTTTCAATAAGTGATGATGATGTTGATGATTCACATGTTGCAGAGGATGGTGGTGCCGCCGCTTCAGAAACTATATTTTTATCTTCATCTATCGTTTCAGTGTTGGAAACTTAACTTTTTTGCAAGAAATGTTTCATACTGCCAGCCATCTTCTCCCTTTCTTAGACTCTAACATTTTTTGCTCTCGAAATTTTGCACCAGAAGGTCGTTTTCTCTTCTGTGGCTCCTAGAAATTAAGAAATACTAGATGAAAAATTGATATAGGCATTTAATATTGAGGGTAATTCAGGTTTTAGTGCACAAACTTTAACAGAAAAAATAATAAACATTTTTTAAACCTAATTTGCCACACAGGAAAAAATCACATTTTCCGATTTTCAGATGTGAAAAGTATTGAATTACTTTTGTAATATTTTCCACAATTTCTTATTAATAGCTAAAGTAAGTCAAAGGTATATTCCCGTTTCGCCTGACATAAAAATTTGTTACGCTTTGACTAAAACGGAAAAAAAAATAGTTGCGATTCTCCTGACTTGCTCAGGTAATAAATATATATTTGCTGTAAACAAATCTATTACTAACAAATGAATAATAATAAAAAATGAACATAAAATTAAATTAAAAAGTTATAATTATTTAATTTGATATAAACAAAAAATATAGAGCACCTAGTATAGTAAAAAGTTAGTAAAATAAAAACTAAACATTTTTTCAAATTGACGAAGCGTAAAACGAATAAACCATTAGAATTTAGAAATTTTTTTGTGTCCCAATAACCGGTCAGAACAAAAAAAATATATTTAAAAACTAAAATTCCTCCAGTAATAATTTCAACTATACATTACTTTAGAAAAATTATCAAGACGGTTTAGAAAATTTAAAAATAATTGATGTAAAAACACTGCTATAAAATGCTTAATAATGTCTATAAATGCAGTTTTCTTTGTTTCAAATCAAATTATTTTTATAAATCACATTTTGCATGTATTTTGAAAATGGTCCTTATGATAAAAAAAGCACGCACCATCCAACTTATGGTCAGGCGAAACGGTATACCACAATTTGAGCTTGTCAGACGAATCGGGAAATTTTAATTGGTCAGGCGAAATGAAAACAGGCGAATCGGGCATAAATCAATTTAAATACATAGATATTATTTGTGTAGGTACTTACCATTTCATAAAATTTAATTACAACACAATTAACACAAAATATAAAGCACTCCGTTGAATATTTATAACTATAACTTTGGGTCTTGGTTTTTTGACCTTCACGTAGCCGAAGAAAATATTAACTATTTGGATTACGACGCCTCCTACAGTTTTATTTATACTCGTGGTCTCGTGGTTCGTAGATGAGTCTTCAAGTCTGGACAGGAAAAATCGACAAGATCTAATATGAAACTTACTCGTCGTACAATATTCGAGTCTGTACAGGAAAAACGTAGTTCGTAGAGTATTCAAGTCTAGACAGGAAAAATCGACAAGTTTATACTTAATACGGGTATTCATGGTATTGCATGTTGCACACAGAATTAACTATACTCAAACAAATAATGATTGAGAGTGAACCGTGTTGTCATATCTCAATTTTACCTTACTAGTTTTTAGCAGAATCAAAATAGAGTAAGTAGTAGAGTTGTAAGTTGTGGCAAATTATAGATAATATACAATCATAGTACTAATAAAAGATATTAATTATAACAAAAATCAGTAATGAGTAATACTTATACATTTCTTGATCATTTAAAATTAATTATTTTATGGATTGTTCAGTATTTGTTACAACTAATGGCATCGGTGTACAGAGCGATATTTGTGTCTTTGTATGTTACGCCTAAAATCCATCTCGTCGATGACGTTCTCAGTAGTGTATTTCTAACCACGAGCGTAACATCGGGTTTTGAATTATACGGTGTGAATTGTAAGTTTTACAGTTAAGTTAGTAAGTAATCGACGTGTTGTAAGAACAATTGGTGAAAATATTAGTGCTAATAAGTGTTTAAACATTAAATAATAATATTTCTACACCGTTCTAAAACTATGCAAAAAATGGAAGACATTGAAGGGCCTTCAACGTCGAAAAATGTAAAACGGTCGAAGTCTCGGTCGCTAAGTGAAAAACAAATTGTACTTCGAGTATTTCACTGTCTTGAAAGAGATCATCAGCGACCAAAAGATAACTTAGTGCATATGTGCTGTAATTCTACGGATGTACCTCCGAATAACCAACCGGGCGTTCCAACATCATTAACTTCCACAATTACAAAAGATAAATTAGTTGATATGTGCTCTGATTATACGGGTGTACCAAAATCATCAGTTTACAAAATACTAAGAGAAAACAAAATTCATGAGGAAGTACAAACGCCAAAAACTAGTAGCGGAAGAAAAAAAATCACAGTTGATGAAGAAGCCAAAAACAGTATACGCACAACTATTCACAGTTTCTTTTTCAGAAATGAGCTGCCCACTTTGCAAAAAGTTCTGGAGGCAGTTAGCGATCATGAATTGGTCCCACAAATGGGTAAAGAAACGTTGAGGAAAATTTTACACGAAATGAAATTTACGTACGGAAAAGTCGACAGGAAAAGCATTCTCATTGAACGTCAGGAAATAATAGTATGGAGAAGAAATTATCTCCGAAAAATTGAGGAATTTCGGAATATCAAAAAAAAAATTTACTACATGGATGAGACGTGGGTTAACCAAGGACATATGGTCAAAAAAGTATGGCAGGATGGTCATATAACAAGTGCACGACAAGCCTTTATTGAAGGCTTGTCAACTGGGTTAAAACAGCCGTCTGGAAAAGGTAGTCGTCTGATAGTTACGCATATAGGAAGCGACAGTGGATTTTTACCAAATGGTGAATTAATATTTAAATCCAAGAAAACAGGCGACTATCATGAAGAGATGAATGCGGAGGTGTTTGAAAAATGGTTTGAAGGCATCATTCAACTTGTGGAACCTGGGTCTGTCGTCGTCATGGACAATGCCCCATATCATAGTCGGTATTTAGAATCATTACCGAAACAATCATGGAAAAAACGAGCAATTCAAGAATGGTTAATTAATAAAAACATCCAATATAAAAAAGATAGTTTAAAGGCAGAACTACTTCAGTTAACAAAATTACACAGAGATAAATATAAAAAATTCGCAGTGGATGAAATGGCGTTAAGTCGTGGAATTACAGTATTAAGGTTACCACCGTACCACTGCGAATTAAACCCAATAGAATTAATCTGGGCGCAAGTAAAAGGATATGTGGCACGAGAAAACAGAACATTTAAATTAGTGGACGTGCAACGTTACCTACAAGAAGCCATTCAAAATGTTTCTGCAGAAGACTGGAAGAAATGCATTCAGCATGTTTTAAAAGAAGAGCAAAAAATGTGGGACGTAGACAACCGTATTGAACACAATATTGAACCATTCATAATTAACTTTGATGATAGCGGTAGCAGCAGTGACGAATCTGAGGTTGAAGATTAGAAGAAAATTTGTACACAAAAAGAAGTCTATATATTTAGGTATAATTTTTATTTTTACCATTCACTATTACCATTTAGAAATTATTATATAAATTTGTATTTTTAATTCCTGTACACAGACATGAACAATGTCTCAGCAGGATACAAATGTTTATTTATTTAATTATTATTATTGTATCAATTTGTACATTGTTACATAAATTTGAAATAAACATTATTATTATTATTATTATTATTATTATTATTATTATTATTATTATTATTATTATTATTATGTTTGGCGGTCAAGAAAACATAATCCTGTAGGTTATATCCAAACTAATTATCTTACTTAGGGATTTCCGAAATGATAGGTGCGTGTAAACTTTTATGATTTAAGTACCAATCAAATAGTAATTTAAGCTTTAGAATGTCTTTTAATGTTGGCCGAACCCAATTAGGGTTTCTTGGGTAAGGCTAGCTAGTTTCGAGGAACTGCAGGTAAACCGGTAGAGAGAGAGAGATATATATATAGAGGTATATAGAGGCTTTATTGTCATTGAAAAATTACAAAAATTTTATAGACAAAGCGAAGTAAATTAAAAACTAAATATAATATAAAAAGATTAAAAAATATAAAAATTTAAAAATAACTAAACAAAACAAAATAAAAATATCAATTGCATTGGATATGCAATATCCGTCATTATGATTTTAATTTAAAATTTAAGTAATACTTCTGTATGTGTAACCCAAGAAGAAACTTAAGACAAAGTTCCTTACTGACTTCGGCCGCGACATAATATATAAATATACGTTAATTTGTGAAATAAAGTTAAATTCATTATTAAAATAGTAAAATTGATAATATTGTTTCTGTCACCAAACCAACCCCTGATTAGGTATCTTTCTTATTTTTAATTTGAAATATATATTGTGATTTTTATTAATATTCTTAATTTATTTGGTTCCTACTATAATTACCACAATTATTACTCCGCTTTCATAAAGCCCCACTAATGACTACAACGATTAGGTAAATTACGATATTGCAAAATTTTCATGAAATAAATAAAAGAAATTGTATGAATATTTTAAATAATTGTACCCTCTCAAAAATAATAAGCACGCCTCCGATTTGGTCGTATTTCTACCTGCTTTCACTCTCAATCATTATTTGTTTGAGTTTAACCTATTGATTTTATTATATTTAATAATTAACGCTAATTGAATTCAAAAACAGATATGTTTTCTGTCACAATAGGAATAGGTTATTATATCAACGAACATAAACTTCGATAACATTATTGATTATATTATCATGAATTAAGATAAACATTTTTGATTTTTTTAGTGTCTTAGTGCCTTGTTCATTGGAATCGTTAGAAAAATTAAAAATTCGAATTGTATACATACCTCCGATTTGGCGCCCCCTTAGAGGTGCGCCCGCGTGCGGTGCACGCGTTGCACGCGCAGTTGCTTGCATCTCAATATTAGATATTTTATTAATAATTGTCTGATATCTCAAGGAATGTGTCTTTTATTTGCTCTAGTTAAAAGTCAAAAACATAAAAAAAATTAATAAAAATTTCTTAATAAAACCTATATTATTTCATAAAAAGGCTAATATTTACGGGCGATACACAATCATGCATAGATTTTGGTTCTAAATTACTATCATTATCGTTGTTTATAATATTAGTTTTATCACTATTCGATAAGTTATCATAATTATGTTCTGATTCGTAAGTAGACGCGGATTTAGATTCATTATCGGCTAACATAGAATTCTTTTCGTGTTTATCATCATCTTTACCAGTTACTTTCTTTTCTTTTTCGGATTTAGTTTTAGCAACCCGTTTGGAATTAAACAACGTTTTTTGTAGGTTTTTATGAAAACTATCCGCTACTCTCTGTTTGGTACGTTTTCTTTCATTCATTTCCAGATCAACTGATGGTATGGTGTTAAAATCATTCGAAACTTCTGTTGGTGTATTGAATTTATATTTATTGAGTGCTTGATCTACTCTTTCATTAGGACTCATGTATCTATCCATTATTTGTGCCTGCCAATCTTCGTTTCTTTTAATTTCGTCCTTGAGTAAGAATAGAATTATGTTTCTTCTTTTTAACTTCTTCTTTTTTCTACTTCTTATTTTACCTCTATTGCTACTGGTTCTCTTTTTATTAACTTTGTATACAACTTTTTCACGTTTGCTTGTCTTATTATTTTTTTTAGAATACATAACAGTTACAAGAGGTGTTTTTTGTGGATCTTCTTTTATTGTAATGGGTGCTTTCATTCTTTTTTTCCTTTCGTTTTTTATTTTTATAGTTTGATCGTCAGTAGTTTCTTTCTCTTTGGAGTTACGTTCTTTCTTTTTTAATTGCTTCTCTTTGTCTTTGTCGCTTTTTATTTTCGTTGGAGGGATATCATCGTCTTTATCAGAAGTTAGTGTAGTATCAATTATGCTATGGCATTTCCAACATACATCAGTTTCTTCTGTTAAGTATTTTGCATGTTGTTCATAACAACCACCGAAGATTAATTTGACACCGTGGTTGTAAGAAAGCAATTTTTCGGTTTTAGGAAAATTGCAAATATATTTTTCTTCGACGTAATTATTTTCATTTGCTACTGATTCTTCTGGTGTGACAAATTTCTCTAAATCTTTCTGTTGAGGAGCTGGTTTATTACTTTTACTACTTTTACATTTTTCTTCATCTCCTTTACTTTCAATTAATTTCTTAAAACTTTCATTCTTTGATTTGTTCTTTTGTTTTTCAATTATTATTCCTTGCTTCGTTTCTTTGATTCCTTCATACTCTTTTATGTTGAATGTATTTGTTTTAAATCCTTCTTTGTTGATCTCTCCTGGTAATATTGTTTTTATATTCTTCGTTTTTGGAAAAGTAGCTTTATTTTTTGGTTTTTCTAACAATACACCTTTAGTTTCTCGAAATCCTGATGGTTTAGGATCATCAACAGATTTTTCTGGAATTCTATCGTCTTCATCTAATAAATAAAAATGCATAAGACTCGATTCTGGATTCTTTTCTTCCAAGATAGGTTTCTGGACTGGAGTTTCGTTTGAGGTGGTCTCTTCATCTAAATGATAAAAATCCATGAGACTAAAAGCAGCAGATTTATCAAAATTTTTATTAGGGGAACATTTTACTTTTGAATTGTCTTGTGAAGTCTTTGTATTTTCTATAGACGACCTTAAACTTTCATTATCAGCGTTTTGTGGTATTTTACAACCAGAAAAATCTTGTTCTTGTGCAGGAACTGTTAATGGGGAAAGTTTGGCCAGAGTATCTACTTTTTTTGAATCTGAATTGTTCAATTTTGGTTCATTTTTGTCTCTTAACTGTTTGTCTTGTGAAGTTTCTAAAATTTTACTAACAGATGAACATTTTGACTTTGTGTTTTCTATAGAAGAGTCTAAACGTTCATTATCAGCTTTTTGTTGTGTTTTACGATCAGGAAAATTTTTATCTTTTAATGGGGGAAGTTTGGTCAAAGTATAAATTTTTTTTGAATTTGAATTGTTCAATTTAGGTTCATTTGGTGGTTTTTTATCCATCTTATCCATTTCTTTTGATTGTTTTATCAAATTTTCATCAGAACCATCTTTATATTCTATATCCAATTCTTCTATTAAGGTAAGAATGTATCTTAAATTATTTCGAAGGTGTTCTTTATCTTCTAACGTAATCAGTTTCTTCAAATCGGAATCTTTTGCATACACTAATTTGTCTTTTGATTTTCTGGGTAAATGTGTAAATATTTCCACTTTAGATTTTTTCTCTATTATTACTTCTTTAGGTTGTTGTTTCAATTCTTTAACATCTTCATTATTCGACATATTATCTTGATGTTTTAGCTTCTTATCTTTAATTTTAGGATCGCGTTCCAATTCTTTAATATCTGTAGCTAATTTTGGATTATCAGACACATTTCTTGGAGGTAGAATCATCCTACCTTTGGGAGAGGGTGGAGGGAATTTTTTCTTCTTATCTTCTTCTTCTTTTTTCGGAGGAGGTACATGGCTAGGTGTTATGAATGGTCTTTCGAATTTCTCTGGCTTTCTCTTTCCTATAAAAGCGGTATCTTCATTTATTTGTAGCGAAATATCTTCGTTTTTGGTCTTATATTTATTATCTTTGGATATTTTCTTTATTAATTCTTGTTTTGTAGAAACGGGACGTTTTGAACGATTTTTTAATTTAGACTCTTCTTTTTCTTGTGAAGAAATAAATTCAACCTCGCCAAGCCACTCATTCTTTTTGGTTTCAAGCTGAATTAGTCTAGTGATTTTACTCATATTCTTAAATAGCATTTCAGATTTTTCTTGAGCTTTCCTCTGAGTGCGTTGATTTATTTCCAACGATACAGGAAACCAACTTTTCTTAGCTACCTCGCCACAATAACTGTCTTTTGATAACAGCCAATTCTTTTTCAAAAATGCTTCATCAGGAACTGCTTTCTTTTTATTTTGCTTTTCGTTTTTAAATAAATGATTTTCTGACAAAACTGGCCCTTTATCAATAAGAAGCTGTATAGCGGCTTCTTTTTTAGTTAAATTCTCAAGCGCTTTCAGAGTAATTTTAGATTTACACTCTTTGAAAGAATCACCAAAAGTTTGCTTAAAATCAGTCTCTATAGATGTTTCTAAAGAATCTTTCATTTTTTCTATTAGAGGTTTCTTATCAACTGGTGGGATTTTAAAAAAAGTAGAATTATTTAGTTTCTTTGGTTGGATAACCACTTCCTTTTTTTCTAAATTAACAGTTTTACTTTTCTCTTCGAAAATTTCTTTTTCTGGTTGCTCCAATAATATTGATTTCAAATATTCTTTCGGATTGTTTTTTAAATCATTTAAATTTTGTGTTATGTGATTTTTAATATCTTTAATTTTAATTTCACTTTTCATCTTTAACACTTTCATATATTGCTTTACTGGTTCAATATAACTTTTAAGTTTATTTTTATTTGCTATATTTTTAGTAAACTTGTGACGGGATACAATTATCTTCAATTTTTTCGTCTTAATTTCTGGAGTTGCTAATCTTGTGTTCATATATCGAACAAACGTCGAAGCATCTCTTTTGGCTTTCTTAGAAGCAACCTTGTCTTTGCATTCTTGAGCTGGAATTTTTTTTTCGTTTGAGGATTTCTTTTTTGGTTTGGCATCTTTACATATTTGAGATGGTATTTTATTTCTTTTTGGATCTTTGTCGCTTTTCTTTAAATATCTTCTGGTGCATGTAAATTTTGGTATCTTAACAGGTGAGAAATTTAGTTTTTGATTTACTGGAAACTGTTCTACTATTAAAGGTATTTGAATTGGGGGATAATTTTTAAGCTCTTGTACCATACCAATATCTGGTTTTTGTTCTGTTTGTTGTGTACATATTTCGTGTTGCTGGGATTGCTGATTTGTATTTATTGATTGTTTTCGATCTTTTTGTAAGTGATGTAAATTTTCAGTTAAATCCTTGTTTCTAATTGTTCTCGTTTCTGTAACAAAATTTTTGTTTTAGTTTTTCTCAATTATATACGTTTCTTAATACAAAATAAACGTTAACAATTATAGACAATAATTACAAACTAAAACAAGAATATTCTATAGTAGAATCACGAATCGACATGGAGTAATAAATCAAAATTGTATGTGAGTTTTACAGCACAGGTGGCTAAAACAAAATCTGTGATTTTAAAGAACCTGCAGTTAAAAGGTGTGATTTTCAGAATTTTTCCTGTGTCGCCCGGAATTGTGGAACGTAAAAATGGGCTACTATTATTTTAATCCCTTTTAAGACTCTAATGAGCGAACAGTTGAGTAAATTAAGGGGTATTTGTTTGTATTATTATTTTTCTTGTTACTATTTTAAACTTAAATAATTGTAATTTAACCGCCGGAGTGCTTGTTTTAGGTGAGTCCCCTCGCCACTCACCCTTGAATTATTAATAATTCATCCTCACAAAGATGTAAGTAACTCACTCTCTTAATAATATTATGTTCCTATGAAGACACACCACACCTTTTGTAGATTCCCTGAAGATGGAAATAAGTTATTAAATTTCCGAAAGCTTGGATCATCTTTAAAGAGTTTTCTTTATTACATATTGCTGCTGCCCCCAATAAATTAGTTTGAATTTTACATTACTATTCAGCAAAGACTACCCTTCCACTATATATATATATATATATATATATATATATATATATATATATATATATATATATATTTTTTAATTTTTTTTCTATAATCTCAAAATAATTTTTTTTTAAACTCGATACGTTAGGAAATTTTTTTTCACAAAAATCTATTTTTTTAATAATAAATAAGTCAGTACCAAGTTTTAAATATAATTTTTGAACAAGGTTGTTAAAAATTGTTTTCAAATTTTGAGAAATTTCAAAACTTGTTTTCGTTTTATTTTTTATAAATATAAAACTATATACAGGGTGATCCAACGAGTTGTATATTATGTGAGGTTGGTTTAACAAACAAGCGTAGTCGGAAAAAGACTAAAATTGGTGTCATTCCTTTTTGGACATCATACACTCATGGTCACTTAGAGCATATTTCTTCATATACAGGGTGTCTATTAAGTACTTGTACAAACCTTAAATAGTGAATCTTTAACTAATTTTAAGGCAAAAAATTCATTTGAACACGTGTTCTAAACCTCTTAACTTTTGTGCTACAGGGTGGTAAAGTTTTCAGAAAAAAATTTATTTTTTCCAATAACTGTGAGACTATTGTAGATATCTTTACGAAATTTGGTACACGTATACTATGCATTAAGATGCATTTTTTAATGTACAAATTTGTTTTCTATCAGTGGCGTCCATACCTACGGGGTTTGTATTGAATATTTTTGCAGAAAAAAATAGTATGCCACTGCTTCATCTTAAAACAAAAATTATTTTTGAAATCCTCATTTATTTTTAAACAAATTTAATCTCTTGAGTTTTTTCGTTCGATGCACAGTTTACGATTTAAAAAATAAAATCCGTTTTATTTCAGAGTCAAATTGCTAAAAATGTACAATTGTACATACATGCATAGCAAGCCTTGCAAACAACCGAGAGGTTTCCATGGTAGTGGAATCAGTCATGACAGTTTATTTAAAAAAAAGATCATGGTTTTTGTCATTTAAAATTGTATGTATGTAATAATTTATTGACTTTTAGGTTCGCTATTTTTTGCTCAGTTTATTTTACCAATTTTCGCGAATTCGATTTGCCGTTAAACTATTAAAATAGACCGATTTGACACGATTTTTGTTGTCACACCGTTAGGCAATCCTACTGACTGCGCCACTTTTAGGTTCGCTATTAAAAATTGGTTTTTTAAAAAATATCAAAAACTTTACAAAAAGCGGAACTTTATTTTAGGTCTTAATGATACAAAAGTTAAAATGTAAAAGCTAGAAATTGCCGGCAACGAACTAGTTTTGTTGCCGCTAGATCTTGGTGGGGCCTTATCTTGGACTTGCCGCGTCTGCATATTTCTACTTGTGTTCCCTATGATTGTGTTATCATAACTCTTCCACCCTTAGAGGAGAATCCGGGGGCTGGCCTCTGGATTTTCTTCCTTGGAGCTCTTTTTCGATGAATTTTTCCTATATTTTCTATATGAATAAATGCAAAAAGACAAACAAAATGCAATAAAAATATAAATCAATATAGTCCAAACACTAATATTGTTAAAATGGATTGGATTATCAAAAATACGTGTTACTTTTTGTTTTTGAAAATTTAGAGAGTCTTTTAGAGTGGTTAATTGTTCCAAATCAATACTGTTCAATTTAATAGGTTTTAGGTAAATAGGATTTTTATCATCAGAGTTTTTAATATTAACTTTAGGAAGTTCTATTATTTTAAATTCACTTTTTGGCAGTTCGTTACTACGTAGAACTATTTTACCTATTCTAACATTACACTTATTGATTAATTCTAATAAAAATGTTCCTTCTAATGGGACATTGTCGCTGTCTTGTCCGCAGATTCTTTGGGCCACTGTGTTTTGAGGTGAGATGATCATCCATTTATTTTGACGAATTTTTTGAATTTTTAAGTCCACAATGTCGAGAGGGATGGTTTGGCAGTTGGTGAGGTTCTTGGAAAACCTCAACAATGAAACTTCGCAGGGGGCGTCTTCTTCTACTGGAGTTGGTACTGATTCGTGACAGATAAACTCTTGGTTATTATTTTCTTGACATTCTGAGTCAAATGACATGAAATTTTGCGCGTTTAGGATAAGGAATTTCGAATTTGGAATAATCATTTGGAAAAGGTTGCTTTTAGGAGTAGGTAAAGGGAAAAGTTGATATAAATCGTAATTTTCTCTCTCCACAATTGGGATTCCTATGATAAAAATAATTTTACTATAACTTTTAATTTGCATTATTTTTTCAAATTTAAGTATATTGTTTAAAATTGGTTCAAATGGTAATTTGTTGTTTAATAAATTCTTATTGATTAATTTAATATGGTTGATCAAATCTTTAGGATCTATTATCGAATTATGGAAAACATTTATTTTGGAAAATGTGATAGCAGTTTCAATTTTTTTTAGTAAATCGTAGATATTTTGATATAAAATTGATATTTGATTTGTGACTTCTTGAATATAGACACTTTCAAAAGTTTGTTTATTTTGGATTTGAGCGGTTTCTAAAATGTGTTCTACAGGGTGTCCTTTAAAATGTGTCCCAAAATTCTCAGGCAGATTCCTTAACTAAAAAATGGAAAAAAAGTTCCTATAGACCTATGTCCTAAAGTGCCCCCTAAGCAAGCAACAGCCTCTCGAAATCATTTTTTTTATTTTGATTTTTTGAATTTTCTTAAAAATGGAAACAAATAAAAGAATCAAATTTTGGCTGTTAAATATGATCAATAATAATGACCTTTTGACACCTTCAAAAAGAAATTATTTCGTCAGGGGTGTACTTGGGAATTTTTTGAAAATTTTGATTATTCATAACTTTTTTGTGTTTTTGGTAATGACTTATCCATATTTTTTTTTACATTCTACATTGAAAACTACGTCAAAAAGGAATACTTGTTTGATCTCGATTGGAGCAGCCGTTTCCGAGAAAACATCATCCAAATATATTCGTGCAGTTTAGGTTAATTTTCAATTTTGGCTGTTGTAGCCAAAAAGTTGGAAATCGAGGAACACGGCTTACATGTCCCTATCCTTACTTTTGAAGGTCTATTCAGTGGCAAAAAATATTAGTTGATACAGGGTGATCAAAAATCGGATGTGATTTTGGATTTTTGATCACCCTGTATCAAATAATATGTATTTTATGTCACTAAATAGACCTTAAAAAGTTAGGATAGGGACTGTAAGCCGTTTTCCTCGATTTCCAACTGTTTGGCTACAACAGCCACCTGAATTTGAAAAAATGTGATTTTTGAGTAGCTGTAGACCCTTTACTATTCATATTAGATAACAAGTGTGATATATTATTGAAATCAGATTATCGAGCAGATTCTAAAAATATAAAAATATACAGTGTGTTCCATTTAAAAAACATAACTTTGATTTGGCACGGCCTTATGAAACACCCTGTCACATCGTAACTAATTTTAAAATGTGAAGCTTAAAGCTGCCTACTTTTATTATAACAGATCTACAGAGCTTCCTCACACTAATCAATCACCCTGTATACTATTTTTAGCTCTCTAAATAAAATTTAAAAATTTAGTTCCCATTTATTTATTATGAAGACCATAAGGTTTGTATTTAGCTGTTTAGAATAAAAAAGTAAAAATATGTATTTTTTTGGCGTTTTTGTGTTTCATGGATAATTTTTTTCGCTCACTGATAAAAATGTTTCTTCAGTTAAACATTATTTCTAAAAGTGTTCTGGTGCGATTCGTTGTATTGTTATTATTTTGTTTAAAATTGCTCACAATAACTACAATAATGATTACACATTCGGCGAAATGACGGACATGCACTTATGTTTTGGACTCGCTTCTGGAAATGCCAATGAAGCTCGCAGACTTTATCAGGAGCGCTTTCCAAATAGGCATCTTCCATGCGCTAAGACGTTTTCTAGAATTGACGATAGACTTCGGGAAACTGGCACATTTAAGAAAAACTCTAGTAACAGTGGAAGACAAAATTATGTGAGAACTCCTGCTTTGGAAGAAGCAATTTTGGATAGGGTAGCTGAAACCCCATCGACAAGTACCAGAAAAATAGCAAATGGTAAGTAATTACTTATTTATTATTTTAGCTACCCCGTACCTTATCGTATAAAACTAATTTTTTTACTTGTTATTGCTTCTCTTACATTTCACGACTTTTCGTATCGAAAAGAGTTGCGTTATGCAGAAAAAATCTGATTTCCCAAATCAATGGATTCTCTTTCTTAACTATTCACTACACAGATTCTCTCATTTAATTTCAGAAGTGGGAGTCGGACGTAACACGGTATGGAAAGTTTTGCGTGAACAACAATTGTACCCTTACCACATTCAAAAAGTTCAGGCACTTAAAGCTACTGATTATGAGCCGCGAGTTATCTTTTCTGAATGGTTTCTTGGAAGATGTAATCAAGATGCAATGTTTCTTAATAAAGTGCTATTTACCGATGAAGCTGGTTTCACTAGAGATGGTATAATACATTTTCGAAATATGCATGAATGGGCTGAAGATAACCCTCACGCGGTTGTTGAACGTCACCACCAGGATAAATTTTCAATAAACGTCTGGGCTGGAGTTATTGATAATTACCTTATTGGACCATTTGTTTTGCCGAATAGGTTAAATGGAGCAGCATACAGGCTTTTTTTGGAAAATAACTTACATGAGCTTCTTGATAATATTCCGATTCAAATCAGACATAACATGTGGTTTATGCATGATGGAGCTCCACCACATTACAGCCTTGAAGCTAGACAGCACCTTAACGAAAGATTTGAGGGTAGAGTAATTGGCAGAGGTTGTCCTGTTAACTGGCCACCTCGTTCACCAGATCTAAATCCAATGGATTTTTTTGTTTGGGGTTATTTAAAATCATTGGTTTATTCCAGTCCTGTTGAAACAGTTGAAGAATTGGAAGAACGAGTTTTTCATCATTGCGAAGTTCTTAGGAATAATCCTGAAGTATTTTTTCATGTAAGACAGTCTATGATGCGACGGTTGCGCTTGTGTGTGGAAACCAATGGTCGCCACATTGAGCATCTGCTTTAATTTTTTTTGATTTGTTTTTTTTAGAATACATATTTTTTTTAACCGTTTCTTATTATTAAATAAAAATAGTCCCACCACGACATTTGAACTACAATTATTTAGAGAGAGCTAAAAAAGTTATTTTTATTTACGAGATTCACCGAGGTAATTTAGGAAAATTGAAAATTAAGCTAAAGTGGACGAATATCTTTGGATGATGTTTTCTCGGAAACGGCTGCTCCAATCGAGATCAAACAAGTATTCCTTTTTGCCGTAGTTTTCAATGTAGAATGTAAAAAAAAATATGGATAAGTCATTACCAAAAACACAAAAAAGTTATGAATAATCAAAATTTTCAAAAAATTCCCAAGTACACCCCTGACGAAATAATTTCTTTTTGAAGGTGTCAAAAGGTCACTATTATTGATCATATTTAACAGCCAAAATTTGGTTCTTCTATTTGTTTCCATTTTTAAGAAAATTCAAAAAATCAAAATAAAAAAAATGATTTCGAGAGGCTGTTGCTCGCTTAGGGGGCACTTTAGGACATAGGTCTATAGGAACTTTTTTCCATTTTTTGGTTAAGGAATCTGCCTGAGAATTTTGGGACACATTTTAAAGGACACCCTGTATGGGGGTTTCCATCAAAATTTGGAATAGTGTCTACATATAATTGCAAAAGTGGATAATTAGTTTTATCTGCCATATTTGAATCTGAACTTTCTGAATCTGAACTTTCTAAATCTGATTCTTTTATAGGAGGTAAATTATCTAAATTTAATGAAAAATTTGTCCTAAGAGTACTATTAAAAATATTCACTAATTCGTCTATTTCAGACATAAAATATAATAAATTCTCTCAATGATTTATTTTATCCCAAAAAATGAAAATTAAAAATCACTAATATATTCAACTCAAGATATGAAATGTTTAAAATAAAAGGAGAGCAAAATTTCTTACGCAATTCCTAGGATTATTTGCGTCATATCAACGGGGTCAAGCGATGCTGTCTGTTCTCCCTGATTTTCTTAAAACTAGCTGGATTTGGCGATGTGGTCCTCGTCCAGGTTCTTAAACTAGCTGGATTTGGCGATGTGGTCCTCGTCCAGGTTCTCCACACTTCGGCAATGTTGGTCCTATGCTTGGCTGTACACTTTTTGCTCAGTTTATTTTACCAATTTTCGCGAATTCGATTTGCCGTTAAACTATTAAAATAGACCGATTTGACACGATTTTTGTTGTCACACCGTTAGGCAATCCTACTGACTGCGCCACTTTTAGGTTCGCTATTAAAAATTGGTTTTTTAAAAAATATCAAAAACTTTACAAAAAGCGGAACTTTATTTTAGGTCTTAATGATACAAAAGTTAAAATGTAAAAGCTAGAAAATGCCGGCAACGAACTAGTTTTGTTGCCGCTAGATCTTGGTGGGGCCTTATCTTGGACTTGCCGCGTCTGCATAATTCTACTTGTGTTCGCTATGATTGTGTTATCATAACTATTGCCTATTATTGTGTTCAAAATGTACGAATATACCAATGCAGAAATGGCAGACATTCATTTCCTCTATGGAATGGCTCACGGTAATACACAAGCTGCAAAAAGAATATATCAAGCCCGATTTCCTCAACGGGTGGTTCCACATGTCCAAACTTTCATTAATATTCACGCAAGACTTTGTGAAACTGGCAGCTTCAAAAGAACAATTGATATCCCAGGAAGGCCCTGCGACAGTTCGAACAGTTGAAACTGAAGAAGCTGTGTTAAATAGAATTGTTCAAATTACATTTAAACACTCACGCAGCATGCGACAACACAACAATTATCTCATTTATCTCATACATAACACCACCTTTACACATAAAAATAAAGTCACACCTCTAACAATCTCACTAGCGAAGCCACGCCTCACGAAATAAAAATTAATAAATGTGTAACCAATCAGAAATAAAATACATGACGTAAGCTTACCATTTCCATATCACGGAAGTGCGCTCTAAGTTTTTGTAAAGAGACAACGAGTTAGTCTGCAGACTCTCCATCGACAAGATGTAAAAAAAAATTGTTTTATCTCATAGAACCATGTGTGTTAAAATTGTAATTTAAGTTAAGTGTTTATAGTTCTTCGGCAGTTTGCCATTATAATATGTAACCCATTTGTTTTGCCTGCATGGCACCATCGTTAAGCGTGAATAAATACGCATAGAGGAAGAGTGAGTTTTTATTTATCCCAGATCACTACATTTAAATCCTCTGGATTTTTTTCTGTGGGGTCACTTAAAGATACTAGTTTACAAAACGTTCAAAATGAGCAAGATCTAAGAAACAGGATATTTGAATCGTGTGCCATTATTAATCATATTCGAAAGAGTACGTCAATCAATGTTAAGGCGAATTGACGCATGCGTTGCAGTAGGCGGCGGGCATTTTTAGCAATTAATGTAAATGTTATTAACTTATTTGTAAAAGTAGTTTAGTCTTAGTCTGTAAATAATCTAAGTTTATCACATAACAATATTGGTCAATAAAAGATACATTTTTCGGAGAAAAAAACTCATCAGACCAAATTTGCTCAAAACTAAATGAGGATTGCAGAAATATTTGTTATTTTAAGATGAAGCAGTGGCGTACTATTTTTTTCGGCAAAAATATTTAATACGAAACCCGTACGAGCGCCACTGATAGAAATAATAAAATTATTTGTACATTAAAAAATGCACCATAATGCGTAGGAGACGTGTACCAAATTTCGTAAAAATATCTGCAATATTCTTACAATTATTAGAAAAAAAAATTTTTTTTTTCTGAAAACTTTACCACCCTGTAGCTCAAAAGTTAAGAGGTTTAAGATATGTGTTCATATGAACGTTTTGCCTTAAAATAAGTCAAAGATTCACCATTTAAAGTTTGTACAAGTACTTAATAAACACCCTGTATATATATGTTATTTTCAACTCCACGGTATAATCTTACTTGTGTAACTATATAAAATGCATGTAACCTTACCTAAATATTCTTCAACTACATTAGAATTTCGTGAACTACGACCAAATTTTGTCATATAACTGGAACCGTTAAAAAATTCCCCTGTCCTCATCTTTTCAAAATTGCTCTTCAAAAAGTCTTGCAATATCTTATTGTAAACAACAAAATTCGAAGTGTTCGGATCCATTTTTTTTTTATTAATGGTAGATAAATAAAAATGTTTTGATGAAGTTGAAGGAAACATGATCTGGATTGCTTCTCTTGAAGGTACAAATAATATGGAACGGTTCATTATCTGGAAAATAATTATGATATTAAAGTCTGGATAAGACTGAGAAGTTTAATAAAAGCAATGAAAGAATAAGAGCTAACGTGCAGATTTATTACTTATTTTCTTATGGTTGAATTTATTTTTGTTCTTGATAATCAATCACACTTTTTCTGTTCCTTCTAGCAAGAGAACCTTGTGGCACACAGGCAAGCTATGAGCTATTAATTTAGTTACAAACATATATTGAACCGTCTAACCCAAGTTTTTTGTATATAATATAAACCAAAAGTTATAAAAATGTGGATAAATTTTTATTTTTTAGTTTCCTAAACTAAATTCATTAATTCAATATCTTATACTAACCTGGCAATTATAATCCTTCATCACAAATTTAAAAAACTCTTTTGACATTACTTTCTTCACCCTTGCTTCAGCATTATCCTCCTGAATAGACTTGATGATGTTTGTGATCGACTCAAACAAGGATATTTTTATATTAAATGGTGATTTGAGAGACAGAGTATTGTATATGTGTGATATATTCGCAATGGGACAGTTAGATTTTGATATATTACGTGAAAACAGATTGTACATTATAGAATTTTGAAAAGTTTACATTGAATTTAAAAACGTCGAATACGTAGAGAATGACACAGACACTTGACTAATTTGACACTGATTGTTTTCATATGTAAATTTCTTTTAAAAAATGGCTAGAACTCAGGCCCGTGCCTAGCACTTTTGGCGCTCTTGTGTTAATTTAAAATAGCGCCCCAAATGTGTGTTACGTTCATATGTGAGTACAGATACGGGTTAAGGACAAAGTATCCTTGTGCATTAGAATGGCGTCTGCAGAACAAAAATTAATTGTAATTATTTCCGTAATTATACCGTGGTGCTTCAGGCATTGATTTTTTTTAAATTAATTGTTTTTAATTCAAAACATGTGGTAGAAAATGGCCTATTTTTAGACCTTTTTCATTGTAAGAATAAACTACAAATTCAATAAATTTTCTAAAAATAAAACCTTGAACCACCTAAGTTAAATATTTTCCTATAAAATCGTTCAATCGGAAAATACGAAAAGGCTCAGACCTCCGAAATAATTATAAATGAAAATGGGGTTACATTTTATGTGTAATCCATTATTAAAAAAAATTTGGACTAAAAATGGCGTTCTCACTGTTATGTATTATATCCTTAAGTCTATATTAAAATGTATAGTGTAAGATAGGCCTAAGGATGTCATGTGTCTTCCTGACAGTTGACAGTTCTTGGTTATGTCACATTTTTTAGAGATTTCGTAGCACATATCTGATACTTGTAACTTTGGTAATAAAGATTTGTTTCTCACATAAAATATTACTTTCTTAATACATAGCACTCACTTTCCGAAAATAATCAATAATTAGTTCATCCCTGCTTCCATAGATGGATCGAAAATATATTACATTTCGTTTATGCTTTTACAGCATAAAAACAAATTAAAATTTGATAACATCAAATGTTTTCTTTTTTTAAATATATTGTAGTATTTAAAAAAAAATAATTACACTAAAACGAGTTAATAAAATGACAAAAAGAATATAGAATTCAGGTGCATTAATTATTAAATGTTGTAATAAACAAGGAATGAATGTCTTAGAAGAAAGTGTCAAAAATAAACTATAATGTGGAACTTAGTAAGATGAGGAAACCGAAAATAAAAATAGCTAATTTTAAACAGGATAACAGCAACGAGGACATCAAGAAATGCATCATTATAAATCCCTAGATAAGGAAGTAGAAGTTGTATTTATAAAAAAACCGCGCACTGGAAACAAAACGATTATTTGTGAATGTAGTCCAAAAGTTTTTAATCAAATAATGCAAGAAGGTAAAGTTAATATTGGTTGGGAAAGATACACAGTGTATAAGGACCTTGACATACCAAGATGCTATCAGTGTCAAGGATATTAGCATAATAAATAAAATTGTCCTCTTTGTGCTGAAGAAATTTCTTATTCCAAGTTCCTGCTAATACGAGGCCAGTAACTACGATAATACGAAGATTCGTTTGTCTCCAGTTATTGACTGTTGACTTTTAGGTGAGATGTCACTGAAAGTGACTATTTGTCACGGAAAACAACTTGGTTCCCTGTCTACAATTTTTCACAATTGACGTTTTTTGTGACAATCTACGTTTTTGTTGACAATTTACGTTTTTATTGATAATTGACGTTTATCATTGACAACTGACGTTTTTTGTTGATAATTTACGATTTCTGTTGATTATTGCATTTTTTTGTTGACAATTAACGGTTTTTGTGGACTATTGACGTTTTTTCTTAACAATTGATGTTTTTTTGTTGACAATTTCTTTTTTCCTTTGACAATTAATTATTTTTGTTAACAATTTACGTTTCTTGTTCAGAATTTACCGTTTTTTGTTAAAAATTTACCTGGTTTTGTTGATAATTAAAGTTTTTCTTTGCAATTAAACCGTTTTTGTTAAAAATTTACGGTTTGCGTCGACAATTGAGAGGTATTTGTTGAAAATTTGCGTTTTTCATTGACGATTCAGTTTTTGCTAATAATTTACGTTTTTTTTTTTAAATTTACGGTTTTTTGTTGACAATTTACGTTTTTTGTTGACAATTAACGGTTTTTGTTACTAAATTACGTTTTTAATTATTGAAAATTATGGTTTCTCATGACAATTTACGTTTTTCATTATTGATTAACGGTTTTTGTTGACAATTTACGTTTTTTGTTGATAATTGACGTTTCTCATTGACAACTGACGTTTTTTGTTGATAATTTACGATTTCTGTTGATTATTGCATTTTTTCGTTGACAATTAATGGTTTTTGTGAACTATTGACGTTTTCTCTTAAAAATTGACGTTTTTTTGTTGACAATTTACGTTTCTTGTTGATATTTGTCTTTTTTCCTTTGACAATTAATGGTTTTTGTTGACAATTTACGTTTTTTGTTCAGAATTTACCTTTTTTTGTTCAAAATTTACCTCTTTTGTTGATAACGTTTTTCTTTGCTATTAAACCATTTTTGTTGACAATTTACGGTTTTCGTCGACAATTGTTGGTATTTGTTGACAATTTGCATTTTTCATTTTGAAAATTTACCGTTTTTGTTGACAATTTACGTTTTTTGTTGACAATTAACGGTTTCTGTTAATAAATTACGTTTTTAATTATTGAAAATTATGGTTTCTCTTGACAATTTACATTTTTCATTGATGATTAACGGTTTTTCTTGACGATTTACGTTTTTCGTTTACGATTGACGCTTTTTATTGATGTTTTTTTGTTGACAATTCACGTGTTCTGTTAATATTTGGCTTTTTTCATTATTAATTATCGTTATTGTCGAAGATTCATGTTTTAGTTGACAATTGGCGTTTTTGATTGACAGTTAACGTTTTTCGATTACAATTAACGTTTTTTGTTGACAATTGACGTCTTGCGTCATCAATTGAGGCTCTCCGTTTACAATTCACGTCTTGCATTGACGATTGACGGTTTTTTACCAATGAGGTTGAATACTATGGAGATGACATGCCAAAAAAAACGACACCCCTTCCCCCTCTCTTAGTGGTCATGTCATAGTTGTCAAAGAGCTGTCACAACTTTAGTGGCTTGCTTTATAGAAATTTGCAATATCTCTCTATTAAGGATAGGCACAATCTTTATTAAAGTTAGTGATCTACGCATGCTCAGATGTCAAAATAAGAGCGGCACTAATAGTGGCTGACCTTAAGTGAACTTGCAATAACTCTCTATTATTAATATTAAATGAACAAACATTAAATTGATGTTCCTTAATTTAAAAAACAAAAAATGAAAGTTCGTCTTGCAACCCAACTATTTAGCGAAAGCGTCGCAACTGCCTTAGATTTTTGTGCGAACGTTCTACATATTGAAGATTTTAAAAATGCTGGGGCGACAATTAATTTTATTAGAAAAATAAACATTCTGTTTGACATCCTGAATTCACGAAATTTTCTGAAATTCAATTATAAGAAACCTCTATCTGAAAATAATTACAATAATACATGTATTTTTCTTGACTCTGTCGCTAAATATATTAGTTCTTTAAGGACACATGCTTATTGCTGATGGTAAACTTCTATTAGAAACTGATAGATCCACTGGCTTTCTAGGTTTAAAAATATGCATTGCAAGCCTAAAATTACTATACAATAATTTAATTGTAAAAAATAGGTTTTTAAAATTTTTGCCTTTGTACAAAATTTCACAAGACAATTTAGAATTATTTTTTTGTTCAATACGGTCTCATGGAGGTTTTAACAATAATCCTACAGTCAAGCAATTTCAGTCTGCATATAAAAATTTTTTAGTTCATGTTGAATTAAGAGATAGTTTCCGTGGAAAATGTATTCCTTTGGAGGAATTAACTATTTGAAAGTGCAATATAACAAGCCAGTTAAATGTTACTTCAAAGGAATATGCAATGTCTGATGATATTGACGATTTTGAGAAAGTGAATGTTATTGAAAATGATCATGATTATTTACCAGATCCAGTCTCCTCCTTTTCTAAATATATAAACACTTACATTTCTGGATATGTTGTTTATTATTTAAAAAAGAAAATCATTTGTGAACAATGTCTAGATGCTTTAATAAGTAAAACTAGAGATTTGTTTCTATTTTCATTCATTGATATAAAGAATAAAAATGGTTTGCAATATTCATCGGAAGATGTAATAAACATTTGTTTAAAATGTGAAAAAATATTAAAAATTATGAAAGACTCTAAGAAAAAAATATCAGTTGATATCATCAGCACATTAGTTTTAAAAGAATTCATAAATTCTAATGTCTTTTCGAATATTATGCAGCACAGTTTGGACCAGTTTGTGTTGGATAATCATAGAATATTATTAATCAAGTGCATAGTTGATAAATATGTTAGTATCCGACTAACATATCTCACTAAAACTAGAGTTAATAAAGCTGCTAGCATAAGACATCAAAACAACAAAATAGTGTTGTTTAAAGGTCAGTAAATATTTTGTAGTGTCTTATTAAGAATGTGACACAGAAAAACTGAAGAGTTACCTATAATTTTACCAAATTTGGCAAAAGTTTTTGGTGTCATAAGATACGTTACACTTATTTCAACTATAATTATATATTTTTTGATGTTTTTTAAGTAAATCATGGGAACTTATAAGAAACTTCAAAATTAAAATGAAGAATATTCGCATTCTAAGCATAGTCTTATTTTTAATCAGACTCTTCAGTTGTTCTGTATCCCTTTTTCAATGAGACACCTTGTATATAAACTTCCCACTTGAACAATTTTATATTTTTCAAGTGGGGGAGGGTGGGGCACAATGGAACACGGGGCACAGTGAAACAGTTCGTGTACCGGACGTACAGAAAAGTCTAGTGCAACGAGATTCCGGCAGTAAGCGCTGCGGGCTTCGCCGTGATAGTAAATATTTTACGCCAACTGATTTTCGCCTTCAGGTAAGAGTGATTATTTAATTCAATCGGCTCTCATGGCATTTCATTGTATATGTAGGCCTTAAGTTTTTGCCCGACTTTCGTATTTCTGCTGCTTCTCGTTCGTGGCAGAGAGTAGGGGAAACCGAAATGGCGTGTTTGGGGTTCCTTGAAACACAGGAGTTTGGGGCACAATGAAACGTTTCATGGTGCCCCATGTGTTTCTCATTGTGCAGTGAGTATTGTT